AAAAAGGAGGAAATGTGCTAGTGAAAAAACGGGGGCCGAATCCCTCAAAATGCGGACCAACACACAAATTTCCGGAAAGGATATGACCTCGGCAACGTATCATGGCTCGCCCCCCAACGCCATCGGGGTGGCACGCCCATCGACTAGCTAACCACTCGCCGCGATCTCTAGCCGTTTATCAACAGCCGATTGTGTTAGCACTGAAGGGGCAGCACCGATGAGAGTCGCATCAATGCAGAAATCAACTGACAGGGAGAAAGGTTCCCACTTTCTCGGGTTTTCGGCCGTTCCTCATGGTTTTCTTTTCATCCTGGCACGTTTGACCACCTCTACATTAGCTACGATGGCTTCCTTCAGATCGCAGACTTTGCCCTTGACTCTACTATAGCATATAAAAATGAATTCACAAAAAAATTCACATGTACAAGAGTACAAATTTTTCATCTCTGTGTTTTTGTATTTACGCCGTACACATTGAGAACAAGGAGGACTTTGAAGATAAGCTCAATATCTTTCCCAGTTCGGAGCTGTTTTCTTGAGAAAAGGAATCAGTGTCGTTAATAATCACGAAGAGAGCATGATAATTATTTCTATATTTTTGTGTTTTGTTTTAATAATTGTGTCGAGTAGAAGTGCAACGACATTATTTACCAACCTTCTGTTCGGGAGTTTTTGACGCTTTGGTTCTCAGCCCTCTGGACAGCTTCTAGAATGAACGGTGTTAAGAAAAGAGAAGTAGGTCCTTGCTTTGAAAACTAACGCCTCCTAGTTGAATCTTAGGTTGACAATATCAAAATCTCATCAAAGCGACTTATGCTGACCGCTTTGATGAGATTTTGATATTTTTGACGAGCCTAATTGCTTGCGCTCTCACTTATAAAAGTAATTTTGCTGACAGCGAACATGGTCGTTTTTACTTTCTGCTACCTCAATGGGGAACGTCCAAACCCTACTTGACGATGAGCTTAAGTGGCTAGCATCTTCTCCCTCACCTCTTCTTTATATGGACTTTTCCACGTACACCACCAGGAGCTTGGCTCAACTCTCCTTGAATACGACACTGAGACCGGTTGCGAGTCCCCGACTGCTCGACATCGAGCAAAACACAGCTCTGAGGGGTTTGATGGAATCAAATCCTTAAAAGTCAGATGTGACGGAAAGCTTCGCTTCCTTGGCACTTCCCCGAGCAATGGTCAGGGTAGACGGTCGAAGGCATCCTTGAGGTCTGGGAAAGCTAAGTATTTAGCAACCATAGCAATTTCATCTCAAGACGACGAATCACCTTACTCTCGTAGTCTCGAGTGTAGTATTTCGTTACACTTCGCGGTGGAACAAGGTGAGCTTAGCTTTTGTGTTCTGGAGTTTTCCGTGCGTCCCTGACAGGACGTCAGAAACGCTAGAGGGGATGAGGCGTTTGATAGGGTAGTGTGCACTTCTTAAGCTCTGAGCCATGTTCAGGCCTTGAAAACGACGGAACGGTCGAAACGATAGAATCTCTCCGATCTATTTTTTAAACAGGCATGATTTTTTAAAAGCAGGATGATGATTTACTGACAAGGAAAGGATGGTAGGTCGAAGTGGCCGTTAAAATGAAATGTATACCACCTGATGCGTCTCCAGACGCTGATTCCAAATCTGCCTTCCAAATCTGCTAAACGACTCTCCGAACGGAGTTATGAAGCGTAATAGCTCAGTGGTGATGGTCCGGGGTGGCAGGTAAAAGCTCGTAGGATCGGTTCCTTTGCAAGTTTGTTGCTTTGCTTTTGTCCGCAACACTTCTAGAGACAAAAGCAAAGCAACCAATTTGCAAAGGAACCGATCCTACGAGCTTTTACCTGCCACCCCGGACCATCACCACTGAGCTATTACGCTTCATAACTCCGTTCGGAGAGTCGTTTAGCAGATTTGGAAGGCAGATTTGGAATCAGCGTCTGGAGACGCATCAGGAGGTATACATTTCATTTCGAAACGGCCACTTCGACCTACCATCCTTCCCTTGTGAGCTTAGCTGAAACTCTAGCCTAGCGAGTATGGCCTTTGAAACAGAAATTTCCTCTAATTGAATCGATTTGCAGCCAATATCGTTCTGTAATCCACAATCGCTGTCCCCCGCAATAACTCAAATCCATTAATGGGCTGTGATTTCTACAAGCATCGTCGCCTCCGACAAGACGAACATTCTGCTACAACGATGTAAAACTACAGCAGATAATTCAGTTGTTGTGACCTTCACTCTTAACTATTACTATTACTTACTTTAGTCATTGTCGCTGAATCAAGCTAATTTTCTCACTGGGCTCGACCCCTTCTTCCTCTATTACACTTGCCGACTTGACGAACCTGACGCAACCTCTAACCAGCGTTCAACGGCTTTAAACACTCACCTCCGGAAATTTGGCAACCATGAAGGTAATAATTGATAATGTTCACTACAAGTGTACCATTAGCTTCTGTTATCCTTAACTACGAGGTTTTTAAGCGTCGGAGACTCTTTAATGAAGTTTCCAAAACCTAAATATCTAAAACTTGGAAAACGCGTGTTTCAGGCCTTGAAGACTACGATTCAGTCGAAACGTTAGGTCACTGAATAAAGAGTTCCACCCTAGTAGGGCACAGAACTAATAACACACTTACAACTAACCTGCCGGTTGCAAGAAGAAAGAAGCCGGAGAAATTTCACTATATTCACAGGGAACCGGGCGGCCGGAAAAATGGTGGTAGGTGGGCAAGTGGCACGGCTTACCAACCCACGCGAGCGGTCCGGGATCAAATCCTGGGTCGTGAGTCGCCCGGGCCAACCAAGCCTTCCATCCCCCGGGGTCGGTTAATTGGTACCAGACTTGTCTGGGAGGATAAAAACACTGACTTGTACATCGGCTGGCCCCCGCAAGTCATTGTATAGGCCACATCGCATTCAAACGCCACTACGAATGTACAAATGGAAGTAGAATGCGTGCCGCATCCCAAAAAGGGATTGATCAACGGCAAATGCTTTATCCTTTTATATTCAGGAACTACTTCAAACTGTGAGGGATGTTCATGGCTCCAAGGGGGACGCTCGAAACAGGCATTTAAAAGCCACTGGTAGGTGGCACAAGGAAGAAGCTAAGAAGAAGGGATAGACGCCAGGGAGAATTAAGGAGGTTAAAACCTCCCTCAACATCCCTTCCCCTCTCTAAGTTATCTAAATGACTCACACGCTTCAATTCCCCACCAAACAGAATGAGCGCCATGCGAGGATATGACTTGAGGACGGATCCCGGTTAGAATTTGCCCTGGCCATTCGAACCTTCCATTTTTCCCAGCTCCCTTAACTTATACTAGTCTGGGAAAATAAAAATGTTGACCTGTAAATAGACCTGCCCCCAAGCGTCACTGTGTGAACCAAATCGCATTCAAATATTCCTACGATTTCAAACGGAAGTCGGATGTGTGGCGTATCACAAAAAGCCAACTAAGACTGCATTATCTTTCCATAGTGTATCGCTTGGTTAAATATGAGTAACCTCACCTGTATAATTGAACTTACCCTGGGATAAGCCGTGCTCATACTCAACCTTGTCATTAAGAAGAGTTAGATCTGGCAGTATTTTGATGAAATTCAGAGGGAGCTATGTTAAGATATCCTAGTTGGCTCCTTTTCTCTGAACAGTGATGTTGCTTTATAAGAATTTCTCTAGTCAATCTCACCTGATAGGAACAATCAATTTTCTAGGCGACAGTCGCATGCGCTCATTACAACGACTCAACGGTGTATCTTCAAAGAGCAGATGTGCGCCGTGCTCTCAACATCCCTAGTATTGTTCCGAAGTACGAAAGCTGCAAGTAAGTGACCTGTTGTTTTTTTTTGCAGGATCACTAATCAATAGATATTCTTTTGAGTGAGGACATAGAAAACACATATGATGTGACGATTACGCACTACATAACCCAGCATGACAACGTCAAACAGGTTATTGCAGCCAACAAAAAGGTATTGTTCAACCTCGTCCACGACTTATGATGTGCTCAAGTGAAAATGGTGTTACGCGAGGCACACCCCATTGTGCTCTGAGGATACATCTATATGAAAACTGGAGTTTATTACCAGAAGGAGCCCATTGATGCAAGGTACAGGAGGGTAGTGGTGCCGGGATGAAGAAAAAACCATGAAGAACGTCGTGAAAGAGGACCTCTTTATCCTCGACGATTTGTGCATTGGTGCCACTCTCATCGATGCTGCCCTCGTCAGTGCTGACGTTCTCTCTGCTAAAAGGCGAGAGTCAGATGGCGAGGGGATATTATTGGCAGACGTGCGGAAGCGCGACGATGAAGGAATGGCGATGTCGAGTAAATGGAGTATACTCTTCGCTGCGAAACACGGGGGCGATACCCTAAGCGATCCACCTGCCTTTCGACTTGTACAGGGGGGGGGGCAAAAAAAGAGTCACTTCTCTCCACATTCAAAACGGAATTAATCTACGAACTGCGAAACCAAACCAAATGAGCCCAATTGATATTAAAGAGCACATTCTAATCTATCAAAAAGTACATGACAGCCTTCTACACCGACGACATCAGAAGATTTTCCCACGGAAACATGGTTCACGGTACGAGCTCAACGAGGTCGTCGAGGTACCATAGACCATTACGACGTCCCTGAAACGCTGGTCAAAAGCGGTTTTCACAGCTAGTGTCTCTGGGAAGCTATTCACCAGTTAACCGATTGAAGAAATTATGTAGCAGCTTCAGGCCGGAGCGATTACGGTAAGCCTCGTTGAGCTCGACGGTGACGGCAGATGACGTCATATTCTGAAGACGGTGAGGGCAGTGAAGGAGGGCCTGCTTCTGCTTATGGGGGGACACCTAAGGAATATTCTGCCGTAAAACATTCATTAACAGCGGCATCCTGTGCGAAGAAAAATTTGATGATGTGCGCCATAGGCAAAGTGACTCTTTTTTTGGCCCCCCTGTATATTCCCCTTCTTCGACCTTATCGTTAAATCCTAAAATAAAGACACTGGTAATGCTGAGAGAAGAGTTTCGATAACTTCCCTACTTCGAGCAGCTCTTTGATAAGAGTCGGCTGAATCAGCCTGAAACAGCGCGAAGAAGCGATCTTTGACCAAGGGTGGGATATTTGTGCCTAGACCTTGGGGGGGGGGGGGAGTGGACCATCGAACAAAATTGATAGGTTGTCGATGATGTAGGACACTTCACCGGTCCTTATCAAGAATATACCTCGAATGAGCGTGTTATCAATGCCTTATCCTTACCACTTGAAATGTCCTTAACACTAGAGACGCGGAGCATGATGGAGTTCCCTCCAACGCCATTTTCACCCGATGCTCTTTACTTTTCCCAAATTCCATATTAAGGTAGCATTGTTCTACGGCGATGTTGATTCGGTCTGCAACGCTATACATGGCGCTCAATTTGCATCAGAACTTGGCCTCAAACTTATATCACCACAATCCATCTACACCGACCAACAGCAAAAACCGCCAACTATCGGCTTCATCACGAAGTACGAAGGTAAGTCATCCTCAACTTTTGCAGAGCGTTCACCAGTGGTCGCATTATTCTCGGGGAGAAGCTCCTAACTTTATCATAATTTCAACGTAACCTTGAAAATTGGGGTGAGGTGGGAGCAGTCTGTATAAATGCATTTTTAAGTGGGATTTTGTTCAAAAGCCGCGTAAATTAAGTAAATTCAGCAGTTACTTTCGATTTCAGCAAGAGTAATAATTGAGAAGCGTAAAAAAGCGCCCATAACAAAGCACAACTGCAATTTCATTTGGCCCTAGAAATGCAAGATCTTTGTCAACCCGTCTACTCACCACTATTCTTGTGCCGGCATGATTTGAATCTCCTAGAGTGTGACCTATGAGGTTGTTTGCCAGATCCGTCGGCTTGCGCAACGCTAGCGTTATGTCCGCACTCTCCTCAACCCTCAGCATCCTTCAGTCCGCTTATCTGCGACCGTTCTCTCATATAATTGACCTCCACTTCTCCTATAGCCATAATGTCACCGCCATGTTGAGGCGATAGGGATAATTCACAGCGGTGGGCTCCAGAAGCAATATTGATTGGCAGAATCGGACCACTATAAAAATTTCAGGTCTGGATTTTCTGACGGTAAGAGGTGCCGGGCATTTTGTTGCCTCATCAGATGAAAAACCAAAGGAAGCTCTTCAACTGTTCGTGAACTTCCTCCGAGGGACAAACTACAGTACACCGATTGACTACGTCAGCCCAACATCACCACCATCAACAATTCCCACGCCGTCATCCTGTCCCACTACCAGTTCCTCTACTACGTCCCCATCTTTGCAATACCTCCAGTTACCACTTGTTTTATTGAGCTTGATGCCGTTAATAAATTAAAGTAAACTGATATCCACAAGTTGTTAATAGAGCTTTACCTGACAGGTTACGAGGGATACGAAGAATCGCAGCTGCGGCGCACCACTGGGAATTGAAATATTACTGAAATGAAAAAAGCAGTTTTCAGCTTCTTCTTATCGTACGTTTTCAACTGCTCCGTGGGAAAATTCGTGGAAGAAGGGCAAAGGTAGAAAAGGAGAGGCAGAAAAGAAAGAACCAAGATCTCTGCAATTTAGTCTAGAACTTTCCAGTCCTTTCTATGGGGCACTGGTTTGAATTTCACCGCGAACCTCTCACCTCAAATTTGCCGAAGCAAGTTTCTTCAGGCATTACTCATTCCTACAATTTTTTTTATCTGCAATTTTACTTGGCAGTAGACCATTTTGGTGGTGACCCGAAAATTTCAATTCCACCTCTTCACATATCCTCAGGTATGGTTTACCGTCACCGACAATTCAAGAATGGAAAGGAAAATAAGGAGTGTTGATGTTTCAAGAAACCTGAAAAAATTGCAAAATATCACAAAATTTCAGAATTTTTACTGCATTTAGTATTACCGTATGCACATAAGGTTTCTGCCTTGTCCCTACCGCTGACGACTTTCTGAGGGATTTCCAGGCATATAGGGAAGGTGAAGATGAAGTAAGTGGAGTAGTGTGAATAGGTCGGCCGCTCACGTCCTTAAGGGGGACACTGAAGGGAGTGGGCCACTCATAGCTCGGGACTAAGCCTTAGTTAGGGGAAAGGATTCTCGGAGAAGACGTGAGCAACAATGTTCCTAGGGTCACCTACCAGCACTTTTTGAATGCCCTGTTTTGAATGTCCTCCCTAAGGACATGAGCGCCGAGAGGTCGTAATAAGAGCCAAGCCAATAGGGAGAAAGGATGACATGGATTTCAGAAATTTCTCTGAAGGTACTCTTGCCCCAGTACGCAACAGACACCATTCACATCATTTCACATGGCCACATTGACTAGCAATCTGCTGATCAAGCCCTTCCTAGGCTACCTCTATGATCCTTATTTTTAAGTACCCTACCTGAACATGAAGGTGTTGGGTAAGTGATCAGCAAGCTTAATCCCCGTAAAGAGGTTCACATGCATTTAGCCAAGCTTTTCTTCGCATTTCAAACTTGGGTCCAAACGTACTGAACGTTCTGTTCAAGCACGGGTTCGCGGTCCTAGAATAAGTTTCTACTTCAACTGTATAGTGGATTTATGGATTCCTTCCATGAAAAAAACCAAAAACCCAAAACTAACAAATCGCTGAAGGTTTTGCACAAAGGTCCGAGTACTAGTGGATCGATAGAGTTGACCTGCCACGCCCACTAGTCTATAAAAGCGGGACAAATGCATAAGAGTGTACCTATGTGTGACATGGTGACCTCTCGCCATCCGCCTTCGCCCAGCTACTATGCCATTTGCCTGCTTTCGAGCTGCAGTCGTCCTGGAAGCGATGTCTGAAATCGCTGGATGTAGCCACGGTTTGATACTTAAGGCTATCACCGGGAATACATTCATCAATTTCGGAATCGGCAATCTGTAGCGCTACTCATAGATTCCTACTGATGTTACCTACGGTAGGTCCGAACGTGAACTGTGAGTGACTGAGTTACTCAAAGTTCATGTCCTATTGTCACGGACGAGTACTGCAGACCTCGTACAAGTATCTCGTCTCAATCAGTATTATTAAATAATACTAAAGTATTGTCAATGGTAAAACAATACTTGTAATAATGTGACACTAGATTATTAATGCCTACTATCCTCATATACATCCTCTCATATTCAATATTGAGGAAAATTTGATTCATATCAACCTCCAAATAATTTTTGACATTCCCGATTATTCAACGCCGTTAACCAGCAAATAGTAGTGGAACAAGATTGTGACAGATAACTTTAAATATAAGAGGAGGGGCGTAATAGTCAGAAATTCCCAACTTTTTCCATTGCTACAAAACCGTTTAAAAAATTAGTCGCACGTACCTGAAAGCGTATGACCCGGATATAATAGATGGGCTATAGAACTGTTCCACATATCATGGGTGGGCATTACTATCGATTAACATTTATCCAACCTTGTAGCCTGGCTCTGTTCACGGCCCCTAAGAAAGGAGGTCGAGCGCCTGCTAGGTCATTGCTGCGATACAGGCGGGCTCTTTGTAGGTCTTACATCTGGGCACCTTTGTAAACGCTATCGCAATATACGGTGGCAATCCAATGCTAGCGTTCTTCATTCCTATGCACTGCGCTGTTTTTTCTGCTTCTGCAACATTTGATTATTCTGGGCTCTATCACAAGATGAGGGAGCACTCTCCACAAATAACCTCTGGAGGGCAGAACCACTGAAGAAATTAAAAATTGCTTACGCAGTCTGGAGCCTCATCTTCCTCGCGTAAGACCTAGTGCCATTTTCGACAGAAACGAGATCTTTTGCGCGGTTCAAAACGTTCTGCCATGCGGTGTTTAATTTCGCCCACTCCCGAGAGAAGGACATCGGCTTGGCCCTACTACAAGATATGTCCATGGCCACCGAGGGTCCTATTCGAGACTGGGCGCGGTATTCGTTGTGTGATGTGTAATCACAAATAGAATTGATTACTGTCGAGGATTTCCCGGCGGGGGATGTATGTGGGATTTCTGAAGCTCGTTACAAGGACTAGATGGAGTCAGTGGTGTGAACCTTGAAAAAATGATATTGCACAGTTGAACGTAGAATCTGTTCTTAGCTGCCTTATACGCCTCCCAAGCACAACGGCACTTTTGTATGAATGTTGTGTTTCAGGATAAACCTGTCTCAACGACACTTCGGATATCGACTATAGGGGGTTACATCGAGTATAGCGGGAGGGAATCGTAAAGAAAACCCCTGTTAAAGGAGTCGAACTGTCGCGACCATTTTCCTCGATGCGCTATTCACCCGGAAAATAAATTTTTTGAGGGAGAGGAAAAAACTCCAAATATTGGAGAAAAGTTTACAAAGAAATGTGGAATTCCTGCTCTCTCACTGCTGTCACACTTACAAGGGAGGTCGTTCAGGGCAAGCCGCGCTTTTTCAAAACGGTTTTTTGCATGTTATAGGAACTCATGCGTGACTACAGAACCAAGGTCCATTTTCGCTGAACGGCCCCGAGAAGGCCAAAAAATGGTGAGGAAATGGTCCAAGGATCAATCCCCCGTGATGACAAAATTTTTGCATTTGGTTGGAGCTTCCAAATTTTCTCAAAATAGCACCAGTGCAAAAATTAGGTATCATATCCATTATCAAAACCACCAGTGATCATTTAACTCAGATTTTAACTGGAATATGGCGGAAAAAAGTTGTAACACCAGAAGGGCGCCAAATGGTGCCGAAGTGGCGTAAATTGGAGCGTCTGGAAAAATAAATGTCATATTCGTGATCAGAGCATTAGATATTCCTTAAGTAGAAGTTTTAGAAAAAATTGAGATTTCGAGCCAGTTCCGAAAAATTGGCCATCGACAGGTCGGTCAGTAGCCCATGGGTACTTCCAGCCAGCGATTGGAAAATGAGTTTCCTCGTGATACTCCTCCTAATAATAAGAAATTCCGCTACAGAATAGATAGTGGCAGGCAGCCAAGCTGATTATGGGAAGCAGCACCCGCATGAGTTGAAGTCGACAGACTCTTCTCTCCTTCAAACCGTGATACGTTGAGTCCTCGGCTCCTCCACTCGTAGGACTTCATCTCCATAGCTGGAGCGATTTCAAGGACAGGGACGTGGTGGGAGATGTTCTCCATGAAATCGAGCTTTGGATTCCGTGAATCATCAAGGCGTTCCGCTTGATTTCCGCGCAGCGCTCGTCTTCAAGTCGCCCGCCGGCGTGCATGACGACCTGTGGCCCATGGTCACCTCCTTTTTCGAAGTTAGGTCAAAATTTCAATTTTTGTCGAAATTTTGCCTAGAGGGGTAAATCGGGGTGCTGATCACGGATATCACGTTCGTTTTTGGCGCCAGCTTGGCGTTACAGATTTATTCTGCCAGTTTTTAGATAGTAAATTTGCAGGGCCTGTTCATGGTTCTGATTGTGAATTTGAAAATGCAAAAGTTCCACCATGGAGCGGAGTCGAACCCAAAAGCCCCGTCCTTCAAGTCCATCTCGCTATCCATTCGACCACCAGACCACTGCGAAAGAACGGATGCCGACGATGCTTATGAAAGCGCTCCACTTTTTCCAGCACTACCACTGACAGTACTTCAATTTTTGGCGAATTTCACCTTGTTTTTGATATCTTTCTCAGCACCCTTCAATATGCAGGTGATCTTCTGTACAAGTCCGAAACGTCACTCCAAAGCTGTAAAAACCACCCATTCTCAACAATTTTTTCGACCCTTTTTTGGCCTCAGGGAACCGTTCAGCGAAAATGAAACATGGTTTTGTAGTCCATACATGAGTTCCCTACACATGCAAAAACCGTTTTGAAAAAGCGCGGCTTGCCCTGAAAGACCTCCCTTGTTAGAGACAAGGAAACTGCGGTCCGCTCCTCTTGGGTAGGGAGGGGAGGGGAGAGGACTACCAGTAATTTGGCAAGTTGAAGGCGAAGTATTCATGAAATAGGGGGATAAATTGAAAGTCGTAGTAAAACACAAGCTAAGAAATAGACAGGGGTTGCACAGACTGATGGCACAGAGTACCCTAGTTCGAAAACGTAACAGACGGCACTTCGTAACAGACGGCACTCCACTTCGTTTTACAGCGCCATTTCTACCTACTACACTTCCCTTGTAGCAGGAGAACGCTCCCTTCCACCCTCGCCCTTATGGGCCCTTTCCTACCCTTCCCCTAGGGGACGCGTCGCCCTCCGCTGATCCTATCCTATGATTGGGGGAGACAGGGTTGCGTCATAGGACCCGCCATTGAACGCGTGATGTTGTAGCTACCCTCCCCTGTTGAGGCACTCTTTTCTCGAAGGGGTCGCACTGTCGTCTGGAGACGCAGAGTATGGCTGATCGCATGACGCAACCCTGTCTCCCCCAGGAGGAGAAAATAGCTCAACAGCGGCGCGGACGCGAGCGCGTGTGGATGACGTCACAGCTGCGCCATAGCGACGAGAGGACGAGATAGGAAGCATCGCTGCCTCTTCGCTTCAATAGTAGAAGGTTCGCTGCCACCTAACCAATTAGTAGTGCTGTAAGCGAAATGATTGTTTTGTGTATAGGAACAACTTTCGCCTTCGAAAAGTAGGAATTTGTTTAGGAATATGGGGAATAAGGATTTCGCATGTAAACTTTAACGAGTGCGCAATTAATTCGAGCTGATTTCAACAAGTTGACTTCGTTACTTCTATTGACTGCACAGTGAAGTCAGAGTCGTTAGTGTTAGTGTCTTCTTCTTCTTCTTCTCCCTAGCGTTAGTCCCGCGCAGTCGCAGGGTCCGCTGTCTTTGTCAGTCGTCGCCACTTTAGTCTGTCCAGGGCGTCCTCTGCTGTGGCCATGACTTCACTTAGATCCTTCTTGATCACGTCTCTCCACCTCTTCTTTGGGGCTCCTCGCGGTCGCTTGCCTTGCACTTCGAAGTCCATCGCTTTCTTATCGGATGATCCTGTGGCCTCCTCAGCACGTGCCCATACCATCGGAGGCGCTGCTCTCGCATCTTCAGCTGGACAGGAGCAGTCTGCATGACCGCCCTGACATCCTCGTTTCTGACCCTGTCCAGTCCGCGTCCAGCCGCAGGCCCACCTCAGCATCCTCATCTCAGCGGAGTGAAGCTGCCTTTCGTGGTTCTTGTTCAGGGGCCAGCACTCGCTGCCGTATAGCATCGCAGGCCTTACCACTGTTCGGTACACCTTCCCTTTGAGCGTTCTGGAGCACCTTCGATCACAGAGGATTCCAGTGGACTCCCTCCATTTCATCCATGCAGCGTTGACCCGAGCCTTCACTGCCTGATCCACACTGCCGTCGGCTGCCAGATCGCTCCCAAGGTAGCGGAAGTCCTCCACTCTTTCGATGGTCTCACCATGGCCGTCCACGATCGGCTCTGCACCCTCTTCGGAGCTCAGGAACTTGGTCTTCTTGACATTCAGCCGTAGCCCACCTTCTGCCAGGACCTTCTGCCATTTCTGCACCTTGGAAGTTCCTCTCTACTATCCGCTATCAGGGCGATGTCGTCAGCGTAGAGGATGGTCTTCAGTGGTCCTTCCATGAGGCCCTTCACCATGGTATCGAGCGTTAGGAGGAACAGGAAGGGGCTCAGAGCTGACCCTTGATGCACCCCAACCGTGATGTTTATCTCCTTGTCAAAGGAGTGTTAGTGTCGTGTTGCGAAATGTTTTAAAAGTATTGGCGCTGTCTTGCCGTTACGCGCCGTATATACCCCCCCCCCCCCCCCCCTAGAAAATGAAGCAGTGGGATTATAGGTAGAAGTGGGGTAAATTGGTGGAAATTTAGGGAATTTTGGTAAATTTTTACTGTTTCAGAGTGACTATACCCCCCCCCCGCTCGACGGCATTTTTGGAGGAAAAAGTGGGCGGGGTTTTGATGGAAGATGGAGATGGTGGAGGTAGGGAAAAGGGGGTCGTATCAAATCCACCTTGGGGGAGGGGGGTCGTAAAAAATTTTCGAAAAGTAACAACGATAGGACCGACCCTGGATACAGCCCCCTGTCGCTTCACTACATGTGCTTTGGTGAGGAGTTATGCAGAAGGACCTCTTCAGCGTTTATTGGGGAGCAAACGGAAAACAAGAAACAAAGAACGAAAACACGAAAAAGACACAAAACAAAAAGAACACAGAGATCGAGAGTCGAAAGAACAAAAAGAACTGCGTTTCACAAAATCTCGGCGAATCAATCAGATATCTGTGTGGTCGGTGTCAATCGATGTAGAGCAACATGGAAGGCCCTCGTTCATTGGCAAAGGCAACAATTTCGACACATCCACTTGTCTAAAAATGCACTGGGTTTTTGGAAGCATTTTCAAGCGCATTTTCAAAAAACACTTGCAAACTTCAGAATAATGTAATATTGCTTCAAAAGAATATTCCAAAACTACAGCACGCCTTTTGCCCGCTTTTCAATTTCTGTTTTCTTATTTCTATTCATCAGACTTAATTTCAACCTCATTTTCCTCTTTCAGCTGGCTTTCACTCACAAGCTCCGACTTATGCAAAAGCGATAACAAGATGAAAAAGAGGTGAATGCGCCCAACGTGTTAGTTTGTTCCTGAGACACCATGAACACCCAGTTGTCAACAGTACTCCTCATTTGACGGAAAAAATCTCAAAGATGATTTGACAGCCCGAAATAAGAAAGAAAATCATGAGTCTCTTGCAATAAGGGAGAAGGGGAAAAGGCGCTAAGGTAGGTGGAGGTGGGGGTGGGGGGCTACATGGAGCTTGGGCGCGCGGCATCTCCCTCCTAGCGAGATAAGTGCACGTGCTTGAAGCTGGAACGTACAAACTCGCTCATTCTATTAGGTTGGAAAGAAAGTTCTGCAACACTCTTTCTAAAATTTTCTTTTTTTCTGAAAAATTCATAGGTAACATTTATGACTAACAAATGGTAGAGCATTCTCGAGGCTTCAATCCACGAGGTGGATATAAGTGCTGCAGTCAGTAGTTATCCAAGAAAATTCAAAAAACCTCGACCACTAGTAAATCCGTACTCCGAGTCACTGTCTAGTACAAATGTCTCCATAACTATGGATTCGTGTCAACGACCAACACTATCTGCAATAGCTTCAATAGGCATGCCGTTCACCGCTACAGCGTGTTTCACCTTTACCAGCGCTTTCGATCTTTTGATATTTTTATAAGAAGCCAGCAGCGTCCCGCACACTCCATTACAGGTAGGGCTCTTACGGAAGCTCCACTACAAATTCTTCGTTATGGGCACCATTGTGTAGGTAGAGGTCTAGGCTGCGGAACTTCCAGAAGCTGGCCGAGGCAGCTCGTCAGGAGCCCTCGTATCGCGACAATATTTCTTTCTTTCATGACATTGCGAATCGCCATGATCCGAAATGAGCCCGCTAAGAAATTCTGGAGCTGCGGCAAGATTTCTTACCTCCCTTAGCGTATTGCCCCTGGTCGAGTTGTTACCATGCACCTGTTCCTAGACCTCAAATCATCACCTTGATGACGAAATAATTAGACGATCAACTCCAACTCGAAAGTGAGGTCGCCTCCTTTCTCGAGCCGCACTTCCGCTGGGTTTTGGCAAAGGAGCATCAAGAAATTTTCTGAGCGTTGAAGACAAGTGGTGGACACTCATGGTAGATATACGATCCGGTCAGGAGTTGTAAACAAAAAAGATAAAATTAAAATCAAAAATTTGAAAAAGTGTTGCAGGACTTTCTTTCCAACCTAATAGCTTCACGCATGTCAAGTGAATCACCCATCCCCAAACTGCCCTCATTCCTTCTGGCTAACGGATTCCACGGTTTCACAAACCGACGTAACATGGCCCCGCACGAACTCGGCGTCTGCCCCCCCCCCCCTCTCAACTACATTAGCACCGGGCAAATTTGAGTGCAAAGCACTTAGGTCTTTTGAAATCATAACAAACATCAGCGGTGCTATCTTATTGTTAGTTGGGGGGGGACCACGCGGCGGCGCGGCGCTCTGTTCGTCTCCTCCTGCAAGGCTTAGTCCTCGATGGCGCGTATTTCGAAACTGATGGCGAAATAGTAACTGCCCCTGGGACTAAGCCTTTGGAGGAGCAGACGAACAGAGCGCCGCGCCGCCGCGTGGTCCCCCCCCCCCCTCCACCCTAAACTAAGATAGCACCACATCAGCCTCCTATGAAACATAACTAATACATGCCTGGCTTTTTTCAAAATGCCCTCCCCTTATCGAAATAGATCTTATCGGAATTCTCCTCGTTAACAAATATCCATTTAAATACACCTCGGCTCAATGTGGCTCGGGGGGGGGCAGTCGCCGTGCGTTCGCGACGTAGGGGAAACTAGAATATTCCGGCTCTTCATGCATGTCAAATGACACCCCTCACCCCCCGGCCTCTGGCTGCACCCCTCCTGGCTCACACATTCTCCGTTCCACACTGAGATACGCGAACATGCGACGCGCCGCAGCTGCCCCCCCCCCAAGTCGCACTGCGTCTACACCTCAATGAAAAGAAGCAAAGTGAATGACGGAAAAACCATGATAAAATGTAGAAGTTAAAACGAACTTCTCGGTGCCGTTGACCAAGATCACCCTCGAGTCCTTGTCCGGAGCGGATTGCACACAAGCCTGAAGCAACCTTTTCAGATACTATAAATAATCCGAAAAAAAAATCCACAAGCACGAAAAGATTACTCACCAGATCGAATGAATCACCATCCATCAAAATGCAATGAGAGCCAGGTTGAAAAGCATCTAAAGGAGTAAATACATTGAATAATTGTCATGCTGCATCACATTAAAATCGTTCATTTCAGATTTAGTAAGAGGTCTATTTCGGTGAAAGGAGCCATGCGTTTTGAAACGCTCAACGTGTTTAAAACCACGGATAGCATATTCTCCCAGTGTAAAGGTCTAGGGCTCCCCACTTTCTTCACGATTTGGGGCGCGGCCGCGGCAAACCCGCGGCGTTCGCGGCCGAGTAGTGCGGCATCAGCTTGCCTGAGTATTCGACGTTACATTACGTGTCGTTACGATCGGATGAACTAACACGTAATGTAACGTCGAATACTCAGGCAAGCTGATGCCGCACTACTCGGCCGCGAACGCCGCGGGTTTGCCGCGGCCGCGCCCCAAATCGTGAAGAAAGTGGGGAGCCAAGGTCTAGCTAGGACTAAGCCGTAGAAGGGAGGGAAACCCCTGGGGTCGTGAGAAATTTATTTATTTATTTATTTATTTATTATATTTATTCCTCGGAGAAATCTTCGTTTTCTCCGAGGACAGTTCTTCCCTCTTCCTATTCTTATTGTTATTCCTAGCTGTTCTCTAGACAAATATTACTTTTCATAGAAGCTTATGCTATAAAACACTAGAACACACAAATCATATAAAAAAACCAGAAGAAACAAAGTAGGAGTAAAGCTGATAGCAGCTCGTAACTTTAAAGGACTCGTACCAAACTGACATTAAAGCAGACTATACTGCCATACCCCCTCCTACCCAATAGACCCTTAGTAAGTTCTAGCGCCTTTAGATAAATGATTTAGACAAGCCATGCGGTTCAGCAGAAACGGCGCGGGCATCTCTCATCAAATTCTGCAAAATATAACATCATAAATCTACTACTTAAAAACATGAACATTTGTAGTGGTGGCTACTATGTAGGAATTCCTGCAGGAAGCCCCCATCTCCTGCACCATCACGCTACTAGCAGCTAACACTATGGCAAAGAAAATGACACAGGCAGGTGTCAGACTTTGCGACAGTCGCTTTGAACGTGCCCATGTGTGGCGACACGAGCCACAGCGGGTGTGGTTCACTAGGACAGAAAGCAACTTTTTCGCGTTTCGCAGCGCGAAACATTTTTCGCTGCAGGAACCTCAGGTCCACCGCTGATCAGCGGTGGACCTGAGTTCCCGCAGCGAAAAATGTTTCGCGCTGCGAAACGCGAAAAATACTCTGTCCTAGTGAACCAAACCCCATAGTCGCTTGCGTTGAGGCGAGAGGGCTGCTACAAAAAGCTCGAAGTCGAGTATCACAAAGTCGGCACTTACCTGGGCCTCACAAAAATTTTGCGAATCGAGTTTTTTGAACAAACAGTTATCACGTGACAATTTGAGTGAATTTGGCTCAGTTCGCTGACACACACTTTTCCAATTGTGAAACGGACTCACCGCTATCGCCACCTTGGACGTTATTCTCGTCGTATAGCTCTAGAGCCAGATTACGGTAAATAGTAGGATCGAGAGCCCTCACCGATGAGAGCGGAATCGACGATCCGCAAGCAGAATCAGACGGCTATATCATGCAATGACATGTTATTACGAAGGAGAATTACAGTGCTTGCAAGTCCTTACCGCTTTGTTCTCATCACTAACAGAAATTTCTCCATACTGTACTTCCATATTATCGGAGGTGGGTGTTTTATCGCCAAGCCGAATAGCATCTTCAATACATGGATATTCGGGCCTGTTCCAATACAGGGGCATGTGGTACGTCAGTTCGTACCGCCCACAGTAAGTAGAATCTTGCAGGTGCGTGAACTGTTTCGTTTCCGCTTCTGGGGTGGTGTTAGGGACCGTGATCCGTCGCGCGATTCGCGCAAAACGCGCGACGGCTCGCGGACTCTGACATTGACCTGGTACGCTCCCAGGGTTTCATTAAACTGCAAAAGTTGGAATGACTGAAATCGGCAAGTACTGGCGCACCTCATGCCCTTCTCCCTTGTTGAAAAAAGATATTCTTCTCAGATGTTTACAAGTATTTCCACAACGATTACAATATAATACAATATCTAATATCTGAAAGCGAAACCTTCCTACCTATACGCTTACGAAGTTTTTCAATAGATTCATTGATAGCATCTCGTGAAAATCCGACTACACCGGAGCAAAGCGCATCGTAGACAAGTGCTGGAGCATTTATAAAGAAGTTCCGGAAAGTACAAAACGGTGGGTGTTGAGAGAGTTGAAGCGGCAGCCGACGGGTCAGATTGCCTGCAGACTCTCATCGACATACTATAATCTCGCACATACCTACTTTTCACCCAAGTTGAATGGCTTGTCCTATCCTTCTCAACCCCTTAACGGTCTACATTTTCTCTAGTTTATGATTTTCGTTTTGAAAGGAACGCTGCCACTCTCTCGGCAAGAGGGTGCAGACAAGTCGCAGACACGCCGCCAGCTGCCTACCTGAAACTTCCCTGGCACCGAATACAGGACAGATAGCCAAATCAATGACGTGGATTAATCAAAGCAATATTTTAGTAAGGAAAGGAACCCACATTGGGCCAACGCTAGGCTATCGTGATCTTCCTTGGTGATGACCAAATCAAAATGACCGCCAGACGTTTCGCACAACAACACCTAACAAGCGGAAATGAATATGACTATCATGTTTTCATTACTCAAATAATATTTTACATTGTAAGAAATAGTAATTTTCGAAAAGATTCCAGAAAGTGAATTTCAAGTTCTGATCTAATTCAAAGACTGAGACTTGGATTCAAATAGATTCCGGCTCACTCAACTATGCGACAAACCCCACCCCCCTCACGAGTTTTCATTTCTGCATCAAGAGATCACAGAGCACTGAGTTCACAATGTGGAGTAATCTAGGTGTCTCCATCTAAATATTGCGGTGCTATGCGGGTTGGGGGGGGGGGTCCACGCGGCGGCGCGGCAGTCTGCTCACCTGGGCTCTCTCGAGCGAGACAGTGTAAACTCGAACATTCCAGCTTTTCACGTCAAGTGACTGCCCCCCCCCCCCCCCCCCTAGACTGCCTACACTCCCCCTGGCTCACGGATTTCCGAACATGCCAGGCGAGCAGACTGCCGCGCCGCCGCGTGGTCCCCCCAACTACTTAGCACCAAAATTGCTACCTATTACCGTGAATCCAGATAGTACAGTATAAGCAAAGCCGATTAACAAAATAATGTACCTTTTCAGGAGACTCTCCCTCAGAACCCCTGTAGACATCTGGCTCATCATCGATTCGACGATACACGTGTAAGTCAACACTAAAATGGTTTCAGATATTACTCTGCTTCATTTCCCAATCATTTTGCTAGCATAAAGATCACACGGGTGCTACTAAGAAATGAGTACGTTGAATCTAGCAACAATTCCGTTCTTAAAATTATCGATTATTCAAACGATGGCAATCTAAGAGCACTCGATAAGGAAAAAAGGTACATTAATAAATCGCGAATTTCTTCTACAACAATGCGAATTACCTGCACTGCACAACATTATTGGAAAAAGCTAGGGCGCTGGGATAGTGGGGGCATCACAATGCTGGTGCCAGAGTCCGCGATACATAGCGCGACAGACCACAGGAATCGCAAGTGCCCCGATCAATACTGCAAGGTGCTCTCCAATCCCGCCGCCATTTCTGCTTGATGGTGATGGTTGAATGACGACTGTTCATGATTCTACTTGTTTCATATTCAGTGTTTCAAATGTTCAAATGGGGCATTTCGATTTTGCGATTCGCGCGACGGATTGCGAACTCTGACATCAGCCTGACAGAAAGTAACGGCATCCTGTCCGAGTTCAGGATAGTTGTCAGACTTCGCAATCGCATTTGAGTTGTGACGCGCTATGCCAGGATCAAAAGTGGGAGGAAAGCATGCACGCCAAACGGATCAATGATGACACGCCTCACTAACAATTTTGTCATCCCGCCAAAATTGCGCCCGCCCCACTCGCGACTACAACCGCGAAGTCTGGCACTTTTCTATAATGAGTGTTGCGTGTTCTGCGTACGTACTATATGTTATTCTCATGGCGAAAACACGTGCATTACATGTGTCCGTGCTGCGTGTCATATGAGGTGCACGCAGCTCCCAAGGTAAGGCTGCTGCGTAGCGAAGTTGCACCCTACGATGAAGCTGTGTACGCGGGTAAGGCGGTGAGCGAAACACTTTTTGTGTAACGGCGCCCTTTAACCGAGACGGGCACAACGTTCAGCATAAACCAAGACCCTGTAGGCCAGCAATCGGCTAAAAGGGAAAAAAGACGAAGGGTTAGGAGTGTGAAAGTTGGAATAGGCGAGGAGATGGTGAGTATTAGAAGCCATGAATACTAATCCGGCGAAGATGTACACAAGCAGAGAATAGGTGACTGGCCTGCCTGGATTACAGGCAGGTGGTGTGTGGTGAATTGGAGCCCCAGAATTGGAGCCCCATTGCAACGAAAGTATAGACGTAAAAGAGGAGCGGTGAGGAAAACCGCACAAGGAGGCGGGCCAGTCTTGCATAACGGGACTTGTTTTTTTCCTCGATTTCCGCTTCAAGGGCGGTTTTACGATGAAAAGACAGCTCACTGGGAGTCGAGATAGTGGTGGTAAGGGGTGCAGGGATGAAGAGCCCGAGAAACGGGACCCTTTGTCTCCCTGTTGATTGCGCATTGGTGCGACTCTCATCGGTGCTGCCCTCTTCAACGCTAATGCTCTCTCTGCTAAACGGTGAGAGTCAGACGGTGAGAGGATACCTATTGGCGGGCCTGTGGAGGCGTGAGCAGCGAGGGAACGGCAATGCTGGCCAATGAGGCATACATTTCGATGCGAAACGCGCATCGCGCCGCTCCCCTTGGAGGGCCCACCTGCCTTTCGACTAGGTATGTTCCCCCTCGTCTTCGACCTCCGAGCGTATCGTGGATTCTTGAGAGAGCCAGCCGCATGGGCGCTGATGTTATAGACGTGAACGCTCTGCTCTGCCTCTCTGCTAAACGGCTGGAGTCCGACGACGAGTGTTCGTAGCTGAGAAGCCAATCGGTGGCGGGCCGAAGGAGGATGTTTGAAAAATGGGTTAAGCCCCCTTTTACAGCTGTGGGGCTTCCTTTGCCGCAAACGTGTCGCGCACGTGTGTCCATTAGGGGCCCAGCCTAGATTTGTAATAGGCGCATTTTCCCTTCTTCAAACTCCAATTTATCGGGCTATCTTTCTTTAAAAGATAAGATAAGGTACCTCAAAAGATTGGCAAGTGTCTTCAGCGTATCCTCGATTTTATTCACATACACGACCCCATTTTCGATTTCCTGCATTCGGTACTGGAACGACACCTGGCTTTCGATGAACTCTTGCAAGTAACGGTGCTCACACTGATGCATGCTCAGCTGGAATGAAATTCATAAGCAGACAAAAGCAAAGATTATCGTAAATCATTCCTGGACAGAACATACTGATTCACAAATCGCTCTGTATAAACTACTCCCATTGTCATTTGGCATTATTTTCTTCATCAAGCCAAGGCGGGCTAAGAACCTGGAAATTACGGCAAAAAATAGCTCTTATTCGCTCATGCAGGTGCTCAAAAGCTGAAAAGAGCCCCTTTGGATTTCGTAAGATTCTGTCCGTTACGTTAAAACTTGTGAAAGCAAAAACAAGCTGCAGTGCTTTCCTCCATTTACCCAAAAAGCCAATCACACCCCTCCCCCCCCCCAGAATCCTGAGAAAATGCTGTTGTAATCTCACCTAATCTCACCTTAGGGTTACTCAGTGCCATAGTGAATATGACACTAATTTTCAGAACCAACGCCACTCGTCTTCACCAATTTCGTTGTATATTACACTTAGGAGTTACTGAGTGCTCCCATCACGAACCTGGCACCTGTTTTTTTATCATTAGACCCCACTGAAGGCCGTTACAGTGCCACTGCGAATAATGCCAACTTGATCTGATGCCAAAAATAGAGCTGCCTTTGTTAGTAGGCACTGAATTGATTATACGTCAGAGTAAAAATGCTGGAGCGCCAAAGTGGTGCTAAATGGCGCTGTTAAAGTAGGCGTCATTGTCGATATCGGGATATTGATTAGTGCCTGTAAATGAAGTTTCTACAGAAAAAGAATTCGCGATTTTGGAGTTGTAACGCTTGATAAACAGTGCCGATAAGCACATGAATAAATAATCACTAGGGCATTTGTACACAGTGAAACCGGCTGGTATACAAACCAAGTAAATTTTGGCCAGACAATAAGCAAATCCCACTTCGCCAAGTTTCGGAGGTCCAGATTTCAAAATGGATTTCAAATTGATCATGAAACCTACTGATCGAAAGGATCGCCACTGGACTCGCCGACAGCTGCTACGGTAGTGTCATTTGAAGAACCTTCAAAAAAGCGCTTAAATGAAACCAGACGTTACATCACTTACTTTAGATACTGGATCATCAAACTTACCTCTTGTAAGAGAGAACAAAATTTTTTCACTGAATTCTCAGCAAAAAAGCAAAAAAAAATACAAACCGGTGGGTGGAGTCGACGATGCCGCGGGGTTCTGCGTGCGCTTATTGGCTTCACTCATTTGTGACATAATACCACTAAATTAAAGTTAGAATCAGAGAATATTGACCAAAAACATAGATTTACATAGGAAAAAAGCCTCAAGCGGATCGTGAACTGAGATTGACCTAATTAAAATCCTAAAATTCGATATGCGCCATTGGTTGTTACTGTAGTTGTGGGAGGAGGCAGTCGATGCGCCCATCTTTCGCTGTCTCTGTTCTCTCACGAGGGGGTCCCTCAGGGAACGAAGCGCCTTTTTCAAAACGGGTTTTTTGCAGTTAGTAGGACGCACATGTAAGGTAATAGAAAGAGAGGTTCATTTTTCCTGCGCGTATCACGTTGTGCCGAAAAGCGTCTAAAAGTTAGTTGGGAGTTTAATCCCAGTAATGACCCTTTTTCTATTTTAAATAAATGTATGTTAGCACCAGCAAGCTGGCGCTAAATGGTACAAGCTCTGAAACTGGATGTTGTTTTTCCTACCATGATCATCATAACTCCCGCAGTGATGTTTTTGAACAGAATATCCCACTCAGAAGTAGGTAAACACGAAAATTTTGTGGTGCCAAAGCAGTGCCAATCGGTACTACCGCTGAAACTTAATGTTTTATTCATGATCAGGACGTTAAGTGACCTTGATAGCCTCATGACCTTGAAAGTTTCAAAAAAATTATAGACCTAACTTCGAAAAACTGGGTCATGCGTAAATTTCGTGGATATAAGGCGGATCACCTGAACGCTGCGAGAAAACTTGCGGAAACTAGGATTTCTCCCAACTCACAAATGGAGATAACGGCTAATCCCATCGCACGCTGGATCGAGGAAGAGGTCCGACAAAATATGAAAGTTGGGAAGGCGATAGGCCCAGTGGGGTGCCGAATGAGGTATGGAAGGTCCTCGTAGAGTACAGCATGAGGTAGTTTATCCGGTTGGCTCGTATCATCAAGAAAAGTAGTACGCTTCAACTACGAGGAGATCAAGTTGACTGTGCATACCATGTGAGCGTTCAGGCGACTTTAAGCTGATAGAGCTGGTTGGGTCTTGCAGAAACAGTTCGTGATAATGCTTAAAAGGATGCCATCGCTATACAAACAATGGAGAATTATCAAAGGAAGCTACTATTCACCACTTGACCCGGCGATGCTCTGGAACGCTCAAAGAAAAGATGTAGCGAACAACGGTAAGGGCTGCTGCGGGAGAGGGTTCTGTTCAGTGTGCAAGAAACAAGAGGCAGGTTCACTCTGCCGAAATGAGGATGTTTGGTCTGCATCTGGACACAACTGGAAAGGATCAGAAACGTGGATGAGAGAGCGATCATGCAAGCTGTTCCTCTCCAGCTAGATAGCGACGCCCGCGACAGTATGGACAAGTGCTACGTGAGGCGCAGGATCATCCTATAAGAAGCGATGGACCTTCGGGGCAAGCGACTGCGAGGAGCCCCAGAAAGAGGTGAAGGGACCCTATAAAGAAGTGCTTCACTGAAGTCAGCGCCAGGCAAAAGATGCCGTGGACAGAACACGTGGCGACGGTCACCAATGATAGTGGACCCTGCGACCGCGCGGGGTCAATGCGAGGGGGAAGAACATGTTCAGTGCGACCTCTGCCTTTGAATTCGACGAAAGTCACCGCAAACAGCTACCCTAGTTTCCGGTAGATAAGCCTGCGCCGATATCACGTAAAAACACCTCCGCTGGTGCAGTGCACTTGCGTACATCTAGAGACAACCGTAACATTGCCCATAGGGGTAATTCGATATGCTGATTACGAAAACGACATTCATTTTTAGCGGTGGCGCCATCTGGCGCCAGTTGGCGTCACCTTGTCACGACCCTTGTTTTCACCAAAATCGGTGTAAACTTCTGTATAGGGGTTATTTGGTGCCCTGATTACGAATATGACATTCGTTTTTGGCATTAACGTTGTTCAACGCATATTTCTCGGTTGGAGAGCGCAGACGAGCAGAAAATAGGCGCCAAATAGCGCCAGCGCCGAGAATGAATGTCATATTCGTAATCAGGACACCAAATAACCCTATACGGAAGTTTACACCAAATTTGGTGAAAACAGGTGTCGTGACAAGGTGGCGCCAACTGGCGCCAGATGGCGCCACCGCTAAAAATGAAAGTCATTTTCGTAATCAGGGCATCGAATTACCTCTATAGGCAAATTTACGGTAGTTTCTAAGGTGTACAAAATTACACTGCACGAGTGTTTTTACGTGAAATCGGTGCGGACTTATCTACAGGAAGTTAGGGTAAATGTTGAAGATCGGTGAGGAGATATCACGACGTAATAAACTCGTCGCCGAAAACGAATCTCAAACCGCTCCACAGATGCGGATTGACGCGATTTCCCCAGTACGCGCGTAACTCATTCGCTGACTCGGTCTTCTTGCCTTCCTGGAGGGTACCCATCGTCCACGATGCGATGCATCTGACAACTATCTGTGAGTATCTCGAAGAATTCCGCCACTAGTGAAATAGACAACGAAGAAGACAGCCAAACGTCGTGGAAGGTGTCCCCCAAGAGGCCCATCGCGCGGCGAAGGAAGAGACGCAGATGCGGCAAAGGACGAGTCGCAGCGCGTGCTGTGCGATATGAGACGTAGTATGGTACACTCTATTTAACCTGACGCCTAACCGCTACAGTATGCGCTGCGACTCGTCCTTCGCCGCGCGACGGGCCTCTTGGGGGACACCCATCGTTTATATGCGCACAAATCAATACAGAACTATTAGACGGTTCACCCTTGAATTTCACAGGCGAAAAAAAGGCGAAAGAATTCCCGTAATTCTTCCTATACAAATTATAAATGAGCCTTGGACAGAAACCAAGAATATTTATTCAGATTGAATATCCATAAATATGAACCTCCATCACCTGCACACAGGTATCACTGCTATTAGGTTGGAAAGAAAGTTTTGAAACGCCCCACAGCCAAAATTTTAAATTTAAGAGCCCAAAGAGAGGATTAGCCAATTGCGCAAGACAAAGTACCGTCTGCTTTTAACCATATGCGAAAGCAGCAGCGGATTTGGAATATGGGAAAGTGGAGCTCCAATGCCTTGACCTGACAACTATGGGAATGGTGATGTTGTCAAACTTTTAGAATTTTGACGGTATTTCCCATGGGTGAGCTGTCTGCAGTATTGAAGATGACATGGCTCACCACCCTGCTCACAGCTGCTCGAAGATTGCAGGAAAGCTTCACGGAATACAGCGACAAGTCAATCTGCTTCCGACAACGCGCGTCGGCGCGGGTCTTCGGTCTCATGCCACAAGATTCTCAAGCTATGCTGGACCGCGGTTGCCCGTCTGCCATATTCGTCGAACCTATCCATACACGTCTTCCACCTTTCCTGCTCGCTCGCTCATTACCTGGAGAACAGAAAGAACTCGACGACGAGAAGACTCCAAATCCGACTTCAAAAGATTGTTTGACAAAAATTCTCCTAATTTCTACAAATAGGTGTCAGCCAACTGCCCGAAGGTTGGCGCTGGTTGCTAAGTCTGATGGTTAATATGTTCCGGGTCTTAGAATAAATAAACAAAGAATAAA